ATGTTGAAAACCCCACACTATCCACGTTGAAAACCCCACACTATTCATGTTTAAACGTACCCCACACTATCCATGTTGAAAACCCCACACTATCCATGTTGAAAACCACACACTATCCATGTTGAAAACCCCACACTATATCCATGTTGAAAACCCCACACTATATCCATGTTGGAAACCCCCCTCCCACTATCCATGTTGAAAAAAACCCACTATATCCATGTTGAAAACCCCTCACTATCCATATTGAAAACCACACACTATCCATGTTGAAAACCCCACACTATCCTTGTTGAAAACCCCACACTATCCATGTTGAAAACCCCACACTATATCCATGTTGGAAACCCCCCTCCCACTATCCATGTTGAAAAAAACCCACTATATCCATGTTGAAAACTCCACACTATATTCATATTGAAAACCCCACACTATCTATGTTGAAAACCCTACACTATCCATGTTGAAAACCCCACACTATCCATGTTGAAAACCCCCCACTATATCAATGTTGAAACCCCCCACTTTATCCATGTTGACAACTACACACTACATCCATGTTGAAAACCCCAACTACATCCATGTTGAAAACCCCAACTACATCCATGTTGAAAACCCCCACTATATCCATGATAAAACCCCAACTATATTCATGTTGAAAACCCCATATTATCCACGTTGAAAACCCCAACTATATCCATGTTGAAAACCCCACACTATCTATGTTGAAAACCCCACACTATTTATGTTGAAAACCTCACACTATTTATGTTTAAAACCTCACACTATTTATGTTTAAAACCCCACACTATATCCATGTTGAAAACCCCATATTATCCACGTTGAAAACCCCAACTATATCCATGTTGAAAACCCCACACTATCTATGTTGAAAACCCCATACAATTCATGTGGAAAACCCCACACTATTCATGTTGAAAACCACACACTATCCATGTAGAAAATCCCACACAAACAACGTGCCCCACTCCACTATCCACGTTCGAAACCCTGCACTGTCCTTGTTGGGAAAACTCCTCTTACCCTTGCTGGAACACCCACCCAATCCATGTTCGCCCTCCCAGCACCTGTTCATGTTCAAAACCTCACATTATTCATGTTCAAAACACTGTCCATGTTGTCGTAATCGTAACCAATGCTACTGTAACTTTAAACAACAATGAATATATTGGAATCAACAACACATTTAATTGAGTATGAGACAAATAACTGTTTATGAACTGTTTTTTTTACTGTAACGTTTTTGGGATTACTTTATTTCATGCCTCAGAATACGTGATGATGTAAAATGCAACCTGGTCACCCTAGGGTATTGATATGTAAAGTAAACTTTATTGACATTGTACCCTCTTTATTAAATTGATTACAATAAAGTAAATATGTTTTTAGAAAAAACATAAACAATTAAAAATAAATGATCAATAAATATGTATAAAGTAGGATTCTCAGTGAAATTGAGTTGTACTTTTCCAAATAAAACAGTGCTAGGCTTAAAAACTGCAACCATTTTATGTGAAACTGTAAAATTTGGTGGCACTTGAATGTTTTCTTATGACTGAAATAAATTATCGTTAAAAGTTTAGGAAATTCAGAAATTATTATGTCTGCTTTATTTTCACTGGTGTTCCTTCTTGATTTGTGTATTTCAGGTGAAAACAACACACTACATCTGTCAGACATTGAACCCTAAATGGGAATACAGTATGGAGTTCTTTGTGGCAGATTACACTGCAGCAACCATCTCATTTCTTGTCTATGACTGGGATGGGAGGAAAATAACTGACAATGACTTTTTAGGATCATGTAATCTCTCCCTTACAAAGGTATATAACAACCATCAGTGTATTCTGTTTTTTTGTGATTTGGATCAGCTCTGTTTTGTGCTCGCTTTAAAACTGGTAGGCTTTTAATGTTGAAACACATTGGACTTGTTAAGAATACCTTTAATTTAATGACTTAATAGCCAGTGATAGATATTTTTTTGAAATATTTGGATGGCACCTGTGTCCTAGGCTATGACTAGTTAATAAGGTTTGTAATTTAATGACTCTGTTGAGTGATATTTTTTGGAATACTGTAAAATACTTTATTTTATCTGGAATTAATTTTCGCTGAAAAGACTTTTTAGGTGTTTTGTATGGAATTTATTTTCACTGATTTTTGACAAGTTTAATGTAAAATATAGAAAAAAGGTATATTCGCTAGATTTTATTTTCACTGTATCATTCTTCAGCGAAAAAAAAATTCCAAATGAAAATAAAGTATTTTACAGTTGTTGGATGGCACCTCCTTCTGCCCTAGTTTAATAGGTCAATTGTCTAATAAATTATACTCATACTTACCTGTGTAACTGTTATGTATACATATATCTTATCTAAGAGAGTGAGAATTCTGCCTTTATTTAATTGTGGCCTAATGCTACTTGAGTTAATATGGCTGACTGCTTTAATACAATTTGTCAATTAATTTGACAGTATCCTGTAGAAATTGTGAAGTTACCTAGTTGTATTCATTGTCAATTTTAAAGATTTACAAAAACATTTATTTATGTCATTTCTGTTTTCACCACCAGCTCCCTCTTTTCATCACACATTTACAAAATATGCACATTTATAGTCTGCACTTTCCTTCAGATTGAGACAAAAATAGCCCAGATTGTTTTTAGTGAAAACTGAAAATTGCCTCAAATTTTGTCTGTTTGCT